GCCAGGCCTGGGACTGAGGAGCCCAGTGGAGCCGCACCATCTGGGGCTCCATCAGGGGGAGAGCACCCGCCACCCCAGACTCTCCCTCCAGCTCTGATTCTGTCAGCGTGGGGGCTGGGGGGTCAGGCAGGCGGAGACCACGGGCCATGGCTTCTCACACTTGGTGACGCCAGGAGGGAGGGCTGGAGACATGGAGCAGCCGGGCAGGTGGGCGGGGCAGAGGGCAGAGGGCAGAGGGCAGAGGGCAGAGGGAGGGAAGCTGCAGGCCGCAGTCCTCAGAGCGGTGGTGACGACCGACCGAGAAGCAGGATCCCATGACCTCCGCTGCCCCACAGGACGGAGGTCCCCGAACCGTCCCCACATTCCGCCCACGAGAAGGGACAGGAGCGGACTGAGGAAGGCAGGCGAGAGGACCTGGCCTAACCACACGGCCCTGGGCCAGCACTTTCCCTGGGAAGATCCGGCGTGTGGGAGCTGAGCCTGCACCCACCCCAGGGGCTGCCGGCAGGCTCCCCAGAGCGCGGCGTCACTGGGGCCGGAGCAGAGAGCACACCGAGGCACACGGAGGGAGAAGCCTGGACAGAGGCGGCGTCCCTGCCCACCCAGCCAGTGGCCTGGTCTGCAACTCGCTTCCGGGAGAATCTTAGACCCTGAGCCCAGAGCACGTGTGGACAGAGCCAGAGCGAGGTCAGGGCCGCCTTCCGGAGGCTCCTGTGCTGAAGACAGATCTGACCCCAAACCCGTGCCCGCCGTGGTCCGCGCTGCTGACACTGGGAACCAGGACAGAAGCACAGAGACGGAGACGGTTCCAAAGAGAAACGGTCTGCAGACCGATGCCCACCGGGTTCCAAGATTCACCCAAATCCACGGCGGCCAGGAGAGAGGGGCACAGATGTGAGGCTCAGCAAACGGGCCAGACCCAGACCCACGAGAACCTCAAGGCACCTCAACCCCACAAGCCTGAGTCGGCTCGAGCCACGCACCCACTGCCGGCTCCCGGGGAAGGAGAGCCTCCCACGGCCCCGCAGCAGACAGAAGGCGAGACAAGAAACCACTTTCTATTCTCGGCCGACAAGGCGGTCGAGGCCGGGCAGAGGCTGACACGTGTGACGCGCGCACACGCAGGACCCACAGGCCACGCCGCCCAGCTCCACGCGCGGAGGGAAGGGGCAGGAGGCCCGAGCCTACCAACAGCCTGCGAACGCAGCACCGGTGCAGCCCTCCCAGGAGGCGCCTGAGAAAGGAGCTCTCACACCCACAGACGCGTAGCAAGTCCAGCGGGAAGCGGGTGCACCACGGTCCCTCACGGCCGTGAGGTGACCGAGCCTCGCAGACAGCGGGGCGGCTCTGACGCCACAGAACTCCCGCAGGGAAAGCTCACCCCCAGACCGAGCAGCCCTGGCCGAGGGGCCGGAGGCGGGCATGTCCCACCATCTCGCTTGTGGCGGTGATAGACCAGCACGTGCATTTCTCAAAACTAAAACCAGTCACTTAAATGCCAAAACCTTATTGAATAAAAAACCCAGCCCAGCCCGTGCCCACTTGGATCGGCCGTGGTCGCCTGCACCAAAGGATGCCTGTTCGATTCCTGGGCAGAGCACATGCCCAGGTTGCGGGCTCGATCCCTAGTAGGGGGTGTGCAGGAGCAGCCAATCGATGTTTCTCTCCCTCTCCCTTCCTCTCTCTCTAAAAAGAAAAGAACCCTGGCTGGTGTGGCTCCATGGATAGACTGTTGGCCTGTGGACTGAAGGGTCCTGGGTTCAATTCCCCATCAGGGCATATTGGGGTGCGGGCTCGATCCCCAATGTGGGGCGTGCAGGAGGCAGCCAGTCAATGATTCTCTCTCATCATTGATGTTTCTCTCTCTCTCCTTTCCTCTCTGAAATCAATAAAAATATATTTAAAAAGAAAAAGGAAAGAAACCCAACAAAAGATATCCAAAAGCACACCACAGCCCTAGGCAGTTTGGCTCAGTGGATAGAGCGTCAAACTGGGGACTGAAGGGTCCCAGGTTCGATTCCGGTCATGGGCATGTACATTGGTTGTGGGCACATCCCCAGTAGGGGGTGTGCAGGAGGCAGCTGATCGATGTTTCTCTCTCATCAATGTTTCTAACTCTCTATCCCTCTCCCTTCCTCTCTGTAAAAAATCAATAAAATAAAAAAATAAAAATAAAAAAACAAAAACAAAAACCAAAAAACCACACCACAGAAAACCCTAAAACAGCCTGGAGGTGAAGAAGACTGAGACAAGTTCAGGAAAGAGAAGAGGTCGCCCTTGGTGACCTCACCTGGTCTGTAGGGCCCACGCTGCCCCCACCCCCAGGGGAGGGTGAGACCCGGCAAGAGCCCAGGACGCCGGGAGCCAGTGCACGGACACCGGACGCAGGGACACACCACGGAGCCATGGGGAGGGCAGCCTTCCCAGCCACTGGCACTGAGTCCAGAAGCCGTCACCTGGGGAGGAACCAGCGAACGGCCACCGGCAGATGCAGCGCGTGAGCGTGAGGTGAGGGCCGCCTCTGGGCAGCGCCTCACCCTGGGAGCAGACGGCACGAGAACGCTGTGGCGAGGAGGACCCTGTCCCTCAGAGGATGGAGGACCCTGTCCCTCGAGGGAGGACCCTGTCCCTGAGGGAGGACCCTGTCCGCTGGAGGGGCGCCAGGGGGACGAGCAGGCCACTGAGGGAGGACAAGCACTGGTGTCACCAAGTGTCTGGAAACGCAAGGACCGCTGAAGACGAAGCGCTGCCGTGGCAGCTGGACGAAGCAGGGCGTTCTCAGGAGAGACCTTCCGCAGCCACCGCGCTCCCCAGGCCCACACGGTCACAGGGCCCGGCGGTCCTGGGTGCCCGGAGCCC